CCTCTGCTGAAGTTTGGTAATTGCAACCACCTCCCCTGAACTTTCTAACACAACTGCAAGTAAACCCCATCTCTTATATCATCTAACAAGAGGCATGAAAATGTCTGAAACAACCATGTAGTTGCTTTAACTAAAATTTTTATTTTCCAAATTTTCCCTTCATATCAATCACTACCCAAATCGTTTCAATGTCTTTTCTGAAAATTATTTTATAAATTTTCCCTTCATATGAATCCCTCAAAGGTAAAGTTGCAATTTTAAACTTTCCTTTTTCGTTTTTCATAAAGTTTGTATTGTTTGTTATGCAAAAACAGCCTTAATAGTAACTACATAGGAATTTTGGACATTTGTATACCTCTTGCTAGAGGATTCTAAGAGAGGGGTACACTTGCAACTATATTAGAAAGTTCAAGGGAGGCGATTGCAATTACGAAACTTCAGGGTAGATTTCAACAACAATTAGAAACTCTAGGGGAGGTTTCAGCAATTTATCCTTTTTTTAAATTAACAAAAACAAAACGAAACCATTATTCCATCCAAGTTGTGGGTAAGCCAATTCAACCATCTGGGTCAATTGGGTGAATCCATGATGTCATAGTTAAATAATAAAATTTTTAAAATAGAAACAAATTCACAAAATAAAAAAAAATGTAGAAAATGGGTCATTTCTTTAATATTTTATATTAATCATATTAAAGAAAAATAAGTGTCATAAACAAGAATTGTTTTATTGATAATGGAAACAAAATATAAATTTTAAAACCAACCAAAAAAATGAAATTGATTTCCTATTTGGTCTGGTTGAACAGTTCAACTTTTAAGTCAAATGTGCCAATATTTGATGTCATAATTAAGTAATAAGAATAAAAAAAAAGATAAAAAATTAAAAAATTAAAAAAATACATAAGTTTTGAAAAAAAGTAACATTTGAGTGCATCTCTAATATTGTATATTCATCATATTAAATAAAAACAAGTGTCATGAATAAGAATTTTTTATACACATGGAAATAAAAATATGTAACTTGAATTTTGTCCCTTTTTAATTGTGGGGGGAAAAATGTAATTTGAACTATTATTTTTCACCTCATTCAAATCCCTAAAGTCCTGTATTTGAGGTGCTAACACCCATTCTCTCTCATTAAATGATATATTTAAGATACTTTGTCACCAATAAATTCTGTTATTAGATCTATTATCTATATCCAATACTTTTAACAATATTGTCTAGGTGGTGGGTAAGCAATTCAACCATCTAGGTCAAATGGGTCAAGCCATTATGCCATAAATAAATAAAAATTAAAGAAAGACAAAAACACAAAAAATACATAATTTTTGTAAAAAAAACATTTGGGACATCTCTAATATAGAATTATTTTATAAATATAGAAATATATACAAAATTTAAAATAATTTGATGTATATTACTATCTTCATCATCTAAAATTGTCATGTGCAAAGCACATGCAAATTTACTAGTACAATCAAGAATATGTATTCTATGGTTTTAAGAACCAGTTTGTTTTCAAACTAAATGGTTTTGATTTCTTTTTGGAACTCACAACAAGAAAAGCAATTAACATTGGAGAACAACCCAAAATGAGGTATCTCTTTTTTGTAAAATGTGTTCATCTAGGTTATGAAAAAAAAAAAGATATGATATCACATTGTCACTGCAACAATCTAAAGACATAAGCAATAAGTGTGTGTGTGTGTAATTGAAATAGAAAGAGTTCATAATTGGTTATTTTTCTGATATGGCATGTAGTAAAAAATCAAACATTGAAGAAAGGAGAAAAAAACACACCTCCCTTATTTGAGTGTGTGCATTTATATAAACTTTTAGTTGAAAAGTTGGGAATTGTGGGATGCATAGGCTTTGTTAGGTTAAATTGAAGCAAAAAGAGTCCTTTGTGTCCAACCCAAGCATTATTTTTGCATGGTTTAACTATTTATGATATTTTATTAACTAAATTTTAACTTTTTTGTTTGTAAGGCCTAAGCTAACTTGAAATATGGACCAATAAAGTGTGTTTGGTTTATTATCCATTTTTTCAAAGAAAAAAAAAGAAAAATCAAAATAAAAGAAGAAATAGTCAATGAATTTTAAGCAATTTAGTGGAGTTATTGAGATGAGAGATAATTAGTGGAATGAATTATTAGAGGAGAGAGGATTAATGCCATAATTAATGAAGAGAGATAATCAAAAGGAGATAATGAGAAAGAGAAGAGAATTAATGATGAAAGTTGAAAGCTTAGAGATGATGTGGAATTTAAAAAAAAGAGAGAAAAGAGATAGATTCTACATCATACCATTCCATTTTAATATATATAGTATTTTATATTACATTAAGTATAACATGTATTTTATATATATTTATTGTGTTATGTAATATAAAATAGGATAAATCTATTGTTCGGGTGATGGTTGAGCTGGCTAAGGATGCCACGTGGCAACCTCTGCAGCCGTCCTCTCTCTCAAGCCATATCGACACCATGGATGACAGAAGAGCACCACTAAGGAGTGTCTTGCACGGACAAGGAAGCAAACTCCGTCGGGGAAGAGGAAATCTCCCGAATACCTCAGTTGACGACTTCATCCCGACAACTCCAAAAGCCCTATCCATCTGAAATACAGACACCCAACTATAAATGGGTATTCCCCGCTCAAGGAAGAATACTCTTTGAATATCTCTCTACACTATCTCTTCGGTCCAGACCAACATTATTTCAACTGCTCGGCCCGACCACCTCTTTCTTTACCCAATTGACTTGAGCGTCAGAATACCTACCCGGGAATTAACTCCTTGGGCCTTTGACCTTTCTCCTAATTGCATATCTCAGTGCACTGCTTCATCCTTCCACTTTGGCCTCGTCCAATTGGCAAAATTATTTGATTGTGTCCTCAGTTTGAAACACCACAGACCGGACAACATCATCCATGATGCTAGAAAGATATGATAATGGAAGGGCTTTGACCAATCAAGACCCTATCATGCCTTTCTGAGATATTAATTTCCAGGATTACTATTTAAAATTCATCCTCACTTCTCACCATTTTTCATAAACTTACTCTAACTTTTCAAAAACCTTCTCCATATAATATAAGAGAATTTTGTTATCTAACATGTCACTCTTAGTGAGCAAACTGAACATTAACAAAAGTTGTCCAGATAGGCTATTAAATATTTATAATGACCAAACTAATCCTATCCTCTATTAAATAATTGTTAAAAAACCAAGTGAAAAAACAAATATTTCTTCATTGTCATCCAATCCAAATGTCTTAAGCCCGTTTGGATTAATGGATGAACTCCCAAATCTCAAATGGAGAAGTAATATAATAAATTTCATCATCAAACAATTTTGTTCATGGCAAACTCAAAAGGAGGGGTAGTTTGTAAATTTACAAAAATCTTTCATCTCCTTGTAAACGTTGTAATGTTTAAGATATTTGACAGGAGTTTCTACAGGTTTTGAATGTGAGGTAAGTGAAAAGAAATAGACAAAAAAAAAAGTTTAGGGGACTTTTACAAAATAATCTTAATTTTTAAGGTTGTAGGCCCAAAGACCTAGCCTGGGCTTTGCCCCCTTATCAAAGGTACTAATCCCAACATGATCCTTAGGGTCTTCGGTGAATAGGAAGAGGGGGGTTCGGATCTCCTACCCACAAGTTGTTCCCACATTTCTATACATGAGACATTGGGAATATCTTTCTTGTCATTCATGAGAAGATGTTCCCAAATACACTGTGGTGCTGTTCTTCATGCTCTCTTAATTCCATAATAAAATAGATAAAGTCTCGTTTATTGAAAACAAGTGGCATAAATAACTAATGTTAATAGTCAATCGTTAAAGATGTTACATGATGTATTTACTCTTTCAAAGGTTCATGTTTTATATAATTTAGTTATCTCTCATGGTAACAATGTCAAATGAGACATCTCACCTTTTCATTATAAACTGGCTCGGCTTGCGAAAAAAAAAAAAACACTTCCAGATGAGGTTTGTGGTGTCAGATGTTGGTATTTGTTGAATGCAGTTTTTTTTTAGCATGTCCCAATTATTGTTTTCATTGATTCACATTTTTGTTTCATAATATTTGTCAACTATATATTCCATGGTTTCTAGGTTCTCCTGGACTCTAAACAAAACTTTTTTTTCCAAGATCTTAATTTCTTTATCATATGAAAAGTCAGAGAAATAATTATAATATTAAAAACATATCCTCTCTTCTATGTTTCTCCTACGAAACACAAAGAAACCGAATCCTCAATTCCAAAACCAAAAGGAGCTCAAAATGTTTACAGTTGCATTCATAACTGGGATAATCATCATGATCGATGAACCAGAACCAGCTCGATTTATGAACATGACAATATATACCATCAGACTAACGTGGCATATCATGATTGGCTCAGTATCCTTTGGGTTTGTGGAGAATTGACAGTGCATATATAATATAGTCCCACGTAAATCATAATCCACACCTGTGACGCCAGCACTCCTCTCTCTCTCTCTCTCTTTCTCTCAAATAATAAATAATAATCAGACTACTGGCCATGGGCATGGCCAACCCGGCCTACTTTCTGTAGTGAGTCCCAACTCCCACGACACCCACCGTACTCCTGTGGCTTTAGCAATATAGTAGACCAGGTCTTACGTTTAGGGGTCTTGTAAGGGCTATACGCGTGGTGTAGGATCAGTATTTTTCTTCTGAAACATTGCCAACCCCAACCATCATCAACTCCCCGCAACGGCAAACTACCCTTCACTTGCGTGGCCGTGGTGGCATGACTTTCCAACCTCAATCCTCAATCCTCAATGGGCGGTAATTGCTTGATTGGGCGGGTTGAGCTACCATCGATCTCTTACCTTTTGAATGCCCAGTGAAGGTGAGTTTATATTCTTATTTGCTTCTTTCTGCTTTCTTTTCTCTGCTTTTACCCTCCTCTTGTAGTTGATCTCAGGTCAGGAGTTATAGATCTTGATCATCATCTTAGTCCCAATCTTATCTCTGGGTATGCCGCTCTTGTCCAGCCACATTTGACTTCCATTCTGAATGTTGTATCTAAATTCTTATTGTATTGTTTAATTATGTGTCTGTCAAAAATTTAAATTTACTCTGTGCTATTGCTTTCTTGTTATACTCTTTAATTCCCCTCAAAAAAATTCAATTAGATAGATGTGGTTGGATTAATATTTGATTTGCATTCTATAAGTCTATTGTATGAGCAATTCTTTTATGTTTATATCTTTTCCTTTTAGGATCTTTTTTTTTTTATTCTTATTTACCAGTTTGATTTGAAAGCAATGGTGAAGGACACAGAATATTATGACATTCTGGGTGTGAGCATTGATGCATCGCCAGCTGAGATCAAGAAGGCTTACTACGCTAAGGTAAGGTCTCTCTCCGACTCTCCGAGAGTAAGCAACATAAACATAAACTATTATGCTTCGTTCCCTAGTTTTGATCAAGCTACGGTTGTATGTTGATTTGCTGTTCCTCATGTCAACAAGCTGTGAATCGTAATGTTGCTTGGTTTTAAATTAGGAACAATGATAGCTATGACCATAACATCTGTTTTTTTATCTAATTTATAGGCAAGGCTGGTGCACCCAGATAAAAATCCTGGAGATCCCAAAGCTGCGCACAATTTTCAGGTGTTTTATTATTTACACGTATGAAAGGATACTTTCATTCAAAGTTGTCTATGTTTATTGTGAAATTGGTTTATACATGTTTTCAATATATGATCCTTCAGATTAGTTCACGAATTTTCTGAGCATGAACATTGAATAATTCTTGGTTCCATGTTCATATTCACTGAAACTTTCCATTCTCTTCAGTTATTATAACAGTTCAGAAGCCATAATCAAAGCAGTTTTTCGACATATTTATGTATCGACTTTTTACATACTTGTTGGTCAAGTAATGTTTTATTGTGAAGGTACTTGGGGAAGCCTATCAAGTTCTAAGTGATCCAGCAAAGCGTGAAGCATATGACAAGAATGGAAAGGAAGGAGTGTCCCAGTAAGTTTAGCAGAAGACAAAAAGGGGTTTTCCAGGGCAACCACTAGATACACTTAATAAGTCCACACAACTCAACTCAGCCTTTATCAATCTCAATTACTAGCTATAATGCCCAGATACCTCTACATTGTATTATACAAGGGTGTTATATGGTGTCATATGGTTCAATCTTTAGTGTAAATTCTGTAACTGACACCTTTCCAAGACAAATACATTCTGGTAAAAAAGAGGAACATTTCTTTGGGCTGACTCCATAAAAGGACAATTACACCCAAAACAATTCACTCTTTAGACTTCCTTTTATTTTCATTTTTTTATCCAGATGGTAATACAATGGGAGGAAAGAGATTGTAGTTTACTAAATCATTTCCAAACTCAGGGATTCTATGGTTGACCCTTCTGCGGTATTTGGGATGCTTTTTGGAAGCGAAATCTTTGAAGACTACATTGGCCAACTTGCCTTGGCTTCTTTGTCATCGGTTGATTTTGAAGAAGAATCTCAAACTCCAGAAGGGCGGCAGAAAGTTCAGGACAAGATAAAGGTATCCATCATTATCTAGTCCCTGTGAATCTGTACCAACCGTTTCATACACTTCATTAATCTATGTGATCTTTGTAAAATGCAGGAAATGCAGAAAGAAAGGGAAGAAAAGCTCATACAGATCTTGAAACACCGTCTTCAACCATACATTGACAATAGAATGGATGAGTTTGTAGACTGGGCAAAGTCAGAAGCCAGCCATCTCTCACAAGCTGGTAAATATGTATTTTTCTTGTCCTTTTAGTGTGCGGTTTTTCTTGACAATTTTTTATATCAGTAACTGCAAGAATTTTCTTATGAAAGAAAAATATGTACAGCCATTTGTCTTGCACCCCTAGGTTGGCCTAGTCCCACCACCCCCATTTTCTTTACAATTCCCCTTGGGGAACTAAAACCTAATACATGATATTCTTGTCCACCCTTCCTTTTGCTAACCCACCAAACCATTAGCAGACCTTGGAATCCAACTGTTGATTGTATTGATGTCCTTAGCTAAGTGTCTAATCTCCCTGAACGTTTGTCTAAAGCCTGTTTTGTTTTGTCTTAGAAAGGCCACCACTATCATCCTCTTCCACATTTAGCCCTCTATAGTTTAGAGACTTCGCCGGTCTCAATCATTGTACATTGACAACAGTTCTGCTCTAGTTGAATTCCCAACACCAACAGATCCCAAATACAATGCTAAAATGTCAAACCCTTAGCTTCTAAAAGCCTTTCCAATGCACTTGAAAGAAGAGGAAGAAGAACTGTTTAGTGTATTACAGGTTTGAAGAGAAGAAAAGAGAGAAAGAGAGAGAAAGAAAGAGAGTGAAGAGACAAGAAAAGAAAGAAGGGGTTCAGTGGTGAATGATCTGCTGCCTCATACACTCCTTTATTTATAGCTTTTAGGATCCTTACAAGAATAGGAAATAAATAAAAATTAGAAACAATAAGGCCATCCAGCCCAACTTAACAAAAATTAGAAACTTCTAATAAAAGAAATTAGAACTACTAAAAAGAAATTAGAAACTACTAATAAAGAAATTAGAAACAACTAGGTGTGGGTATGAAACCACACACACTAGAGCCTGAGTATGGGTATGGAACCCCACACTCATGGCTAACCAACTATTTCTTCACTCCCCCTCAAGTTGGGAGTAGATATTTGTCATGCCCAACTTGCGTAGATCTGTCTCCAATTTGCCTTTTGTGACTGCTTTGGTGAAAAGATCAGCTAACTGCATGTCTGAGGCAATGTAAGGAAGGCATACTTCTTGAGATGCAATTCGCTCTCAAATAAAATGTCTGTCAACCTCAATATGCTTAGTCCTGTCATGCTGTATTGGGTTGTGGGCAATATTAATTGCAGCTTGATTATCACAATACAGCATCAGAGGCTTCTCATAATCAACCTCCAACTCATTAAGCAAGGATCTCAGCCATAACACTTCTGCAACACCATTGGCCATGGATCTATATTCCGCTTCTGCACTGGAGCGAGCAACAACATTTTGTTTATTTCTTCTCCAGGAAACAAGATTTCCCTCCACAAATGCACAATATCCAGAGGTGGACCTCCTATCATCAACACATCCAGCCCAATCCACATCTGTATACACTTCTATTTTCATATGACCATTATTCTTGAAGAGTATACCTCTCCCTGGATATCTCTTTAAGTAGGCAAGGATCCTTTCTACTGCAAGGAGATGAGTGGTCCTAGGAGAATGCATGTATTGACTGACAACAACAACGGCATAAGAAATATCTGGTTGGGTTAGACAAAGATAAAGAAGTTTCCCAACCAACCTTTGGTACATAGCCCTATCCTCAAGGAGTTCTCCACTTTCTGCACTTATCTTATGGTTAGGCTCAATGGGAGTATCAGTAGGTTTCACTCCTAACTTGCTAGTTTCTTCCAATAAGTTCAGAGCGTACTTCCTTTGGGAGATAAAAATTCCATGCTTAGATCAAGTTACCTCAATTCCTAGGAAATAGTGTAACTTTCCTAGGTCTTTCACTTCAAATTCCTTGTGAAGGTGTTGTTGGTTTCAATTTCACTAGTGTCACTTCCTGTTATCACAATGTCATCTACATAGACTGCAGAGTCAGGGAATGACCTGTCTTCTTAAAGAAGAGGGTGTGATCTAACTGAGCCTGTATGTATCCGAATTTGTCCAAAGCCAGTCTAAACCTATCAAACCAAGCTCTCTGGGACTGTTTGAGCCCATACAAGGCCTTCTTCAAAAGGCAAACTTTCTTTCCTGCTTTTGTACTATAAAAACTAGGGGGTAACTCCACGTATACTTCCTCTTGCAAGTCTCCACTGAGGAAGGAATTCTTAACATCTAGCTGAAATAGTGGCCATGAGAAGTCTGCAGCAATGGATAGAAGAACTCTGATAGTGTTCATTTTTACAACAGGTGCAAACGTTTCTGAAGGGATGAGAGATCCATCCTATGGACGCCCAAAGATTGCGGAATAAGGGGCGAATTTCAAAAATTTATCTCTCCCTTYARYTGRRAWTCGTATTCCCTATTTAGAAAATCATATTTTCAAKGATCAATCTTGAACCATAAACTGAACCAGATCTGAACCAAAAGGAGTGGGAGAGGATTATACCTGATA